CCCCCCCAAGTCTGAGACTGAGGTCAACTTCGTGATTTAGATTGGAGCTGGCAGCATGGCCTCTCTGTCTCTCTCTTTCTCTCACCCTCTCTCTCCTTCTCAGCCAAATGATCACTGGGGAAATCCTCTTCCTGTCCTTTAAAAAGAGGAAAAAAAAAAACACAGCACACCAGCACCACAGAGCACACTGCCTTCAGCCGTGATCAGCTGCACCAGCATAGTGGAGAGACAGCAACCATCCTTCCCACCTTCCACAGTCATCATCACATAGCAGACATGTCCAGGTAGCTCTTAAAGTCTGATCTCAGCAGTTGGGTTTTTAAACTCTAATGAGAAGTAGCTGCACAGGACCGTACCTTAGCCATGCATGTTTTTTGCGTGACAGCTCTGTTACTAATAGCATGGAGTGCTTCAGTGACAAGACAAAGAAACCAAAAAATAATTTTACATTAAGAAATCAGAATAAAAGAACTGATTTGTTCTGTCTGCTTGGACATGGCTCAAGTAGTTGGTGCACTTATGCAGGCGAGGCAGAATGGAAAATTCCTTCACCTGTGTGAGCCATAGAGTCAAAAACACGTGTTCTTGTGGCAGTGTAGCACTGTTGGACATAATTGAGGCCACTCAGAGGTAGGCTACCTCCGTCCGCTTCATGTCCCGACATCCCAGTCAAGCTGTAGAATAACAGTCTCCATGTTTTCCACACCATCACTACAGTTTGCTTTCTCTGTCTGCCTCTGAGATCAAAGGAAGGGTTATATTACGTTTACAATAAACTCAAATGTGAACTTGATGCTAAGCTCTGCAGCTGCAGCCTGGCACAAAGCTAACAAATACTACTGTTTTTATTACTTACCCAGGGAAAACATCCGTAAGCTCTCATCCTTGCATCCACCTTTCCATATCCTTCCAACTCCAACCCCCCCGGGTGTTTCCTCCATATGCCTCTCCTTCCTTTCCCACACCCTCTCCCAGAAACCTGCTACGACTCATGCTAGCACTCTCTGGTGGAGAAAGACGACAATCCCTGCAGGAATATGTCCACACGTGGAATGTAAAATACTGAAATTGTATAATTAAAGACACGATGTGAAGTCCCACACTCATGTTGCTTTCGATGTTGCTTTTGTTGTGCACCAAGTGTTCGTCGTTCTGCTTTTTCTTGGGCCGTTGAGCTTTGGAGGTGGACATGAGCCACGTCCTGTGACAGACTGCTACTGATGAGTCGTTTTAAGAAAAAACTAGTATGTTTATGAAAGAACTGTGTGATGACTGAAAACGTTTGAGTGATTTAAAGGAAGGGATGAAGTGAATGTTTTGGGTATAGAGGAACTTTTTAATTTTTGTTTTTTTTTAATGATACTTTTGTCTTTATTTGCATCTGATTTTTCTTGGTAAGTGAATGTCTATCTGTGTTGATGCTTTACTGTGAGAATATGGCTGTATATGCACTTTCAGACCATCATTGGTGCAGTGGTAGCTAGTGCTCAGACATCACCCATGGGTCAGGGTTCAGCTCATCTTCAGTTTAGCCAACTGAAAAAGAAGCCATATTAATAAATACGATTGAAACTTCTTGGAACAGGCGATTGCATTTGGCACCATAGTTGGCTGTATCTAGCAGCTGTACTGCTTGCACTGTAATTCACATTGCTGTATAAGAATGAATGAATTGCATTATTCAAAAATATACGTTTAGTGTGATAAGCTAGTCAGTGTTTTGGATTCATACTTTTTTTTTTAAGGTTTTAAATCGTACGTTTTTCTTACTTCTGACCTTTTTTTATTTTGTCACTACTGCAACCTCTCATACGCTAAAACGTAATATACCACTGTCCCAGTCACACAGGCTTAGAGACCAGTTAGTGACTGCCTGGCAATCACAAGTTGTTCGGGAAAAATGTATTTTCTCTGAACAGTTGCTGAAGTTTGCTGGCAGTTGCTGTGAAGTCAGTTCCTAAACGCTCAGTTAGGCTTGCCTACACTAGTCCGTGATCCTGTGATAATCACCGGCAGCAGGTGAAAAATCTCTTCCCAACCAGTTGGAGAGTGGTAGCAGAAAGTTGCTTACTGTCACCAGGTGAAACTGGTCATCTAAGGGTTTACGACGCTGCAGCGAAAACCTCCTCGGGATTACTTTGGTGGATGCTAGCACTCTGTAACCACTTGCTAACTATTTGCTAAGCTGTAGTGAAACTGTGAAGAGTGTCACACAAACCTTTTTACCTCAGTCCCTTCTTTGCAAATAATTTCACCCGGTGACAGCCCGCAACGTCCTGCAGTTCTTAAATTAATTTTAATACATATATGATAAACTAATCCT